TTCTCCTTAATAAAAGGCTCTGCCGAAGGTGAAGTTGCGCAAACCTTGATGCGCACCCATCTAGAGCATGAAGCCTTGAATAGCTCTCAAGCCTGGTTCGCTCGCGTGCCTACTGAAGCCAACATAAGCGACTTCCCTTCCAGAGGCGAAGCACACCCTATGCTCGAACCTGAATTGTCCGAGAGCTTGCCAGTCAAGGACTTGTTCGATAGCATTATGCAGTGTTTGCGTGATCTTGGGTGCCAGCATTCGACGAAGGGGGACAAACCATGCATTGCGCCCCAATATCTCGAAAGAGAAAAAAGGAGCGCTGATTTCTTGCTTTGTGAAATCAAACGTTGAATTGACAATGAAGCTCACCGAGTTGTCACTTCTGTTTTTAGGGTGGAGGCACCCGGATTTCACACGCGTCTTTGCTTCTGCGCTGGTTCAAGTGGTGGGCGGGTGGGCGCGCCGTTTCGTTTGCCCAGAAGCGCCCACCCACCAACACCTTGAAGAGTACTCGCTTTTGTGCATCGACGCTCTTCAGCTCGAAAGCAGTGCGTTCCAAGCCGCACGCCCCAAGCAAGCAGTTCGTCACAAGACCAAGTTTCACAGAGCCAGACCCAGTGGCCTACAGGCCATGCATTGCACCCCAATATCTCGAAAGAGAGAAAAGGCATTTACGTTTTGCGTCGTGTTTTTTTGTCGTTAGAAGGAAAAAAGCGTTCTTCAAAACCCACAGGCTCCAATGTATGCACTATATGGGTACACTTAGCTTCATATCAGTTATTTTGAACATTGGCTCTTAACAAGCCTAGCCTATGTAGCTAAAAATCAATTACAATCACAAGCCACAAAAACTCATATTGGACTCATTAATTTCGAGACCCTTCGAGGCCTTTCGAGACTGCCCCCCCGAGAGTTTGAGAAACATTACCTGCGGGGTCAATATATTACAAAGCATCCTACTGCGCCTTGACTGCTCTCCCGCACCAAGCTCTCCACAACCATCCAGTGAAACGACTAAGTTTACCCCACATATTGATTCCTTCGTGGTAGGCTATCGTACGAAAGCCTTGGCCTGGACATTGCAACATGTTTGTCCCTTTGAGCATTCTGCGAGTGTAATGATGATTAATGATGTATATATATATATATAATATATATACATATATGTGTGATCCCGCTTTCAGCATGGATTTAAGTGATGTGTACTTTAGGCAAACTAGTAGGTCCGATAAAGACAATTTATAACACATACGTGTAAAATTGAATCTTGAATTATCTAAGTTTGTCTTTGGACAATAATTTGATCAGGAGCTGTTACCTCTGTCAACTTGACCAAACTTTGGCGGGCTTGCCTGATATATCTTGATAGTCAGTGCATGTTTGCAGGCAAAAAATGTGTTCTTCGAGGTTTGTAGGCATAAGGCATTTTTAGGTAATTCTGTTATTCTTGAAGGACTGTGGCAGGCATTTTGGCTGAAGCTGTGCTGGGTCGAGAAAAAACCTGTGGGAGCAACCTGCATAGGGGGTCTATTTTCCACTATATATGTGAGGCATGTGTAGGAAAATTCTTTAAAAAGGGCACACTTTTCACTGCCGCAGGACAGCTGCTAGTAGTCCAAATGGGTGCACAAAATAACTCGCAGGATGATACTGATAAGCAAGGATGCTGAGTTGCAATAGAGCAACCAACAGGGGGTGAAATTCACATGTTCGCCATTGTCGTTGTAAAGATATGAATGTGCCACTGAATGAATCACAATGATGCAGAATTGTTTTTGGTTCGATCTTAAGATCGAACCATACCCAGCAACGAGCAAATATTGTGAGAAACTGCATGGCTACCCTACCAAAAATGCCGCCCGAAAGCCAATGTTTGTCCCGGTGAGGGCCCCCCAAAAGCCCTATTCAAATTCCCATGTGGAGCCCAGCCCTGTGGTCATACCGAAATCCAGAAGACTGGTAAAGCAATAGGCAGCAACAAATTAGTTGAGTGTGCAGTAATAGGCAACAAGGTTTTCTTTATACGATTGTGTTGATGTTTTGTGTGCTTTTGTTGTTTGGTTTGATCTCTGACATTTGTATGTTTATGTTTTATTATTCTTACCTTTTTCCTGACATAGATATGGAGAGAGAGAGAGAGAGAGAGTGAGAGAGATCATATTACTGTGTTCTATGTAATCACATAATATTGCATGTTTTATTTTACACATTAAGTGCAGTTCACTTTTGCAAATGCACTTAGGGTGCTAAGTTTCGGAAGAATGACGGCAGGAGCTGTATTGCACAAATGCGAGGCATCGGTCCTTCAATTATTTTCCAACCCGGATTCCCATCGCATCTCGTGTAATGCCACAGGGATGGACGTTTTAAGTATATATAAAGGCTTGGACACGGACGAACCCTTGCTAGTATGTTCTAGCTCCGCTTCGTATTTACGTCTATATTTTGACACTGCATGGCTGTGATGCTTGAGCAATTGGAAATAATCCTTACCTTTGACTGTTGCGAAATTGCTGCATGGGGGAGAGTCAGCCAAAGAAATGACAAAAAGATGCCCTCAAGGCAAACCATGCAGATAATTTTGCAGAGTCACGCGAAGTCACACAGATGTCACGCGGAGTCACGCAGATGTCACGCGAAATTCCGTGAATGTATTCAAATTTTGGGTACATTCACAGAAATGTACTTAAAATTTGGATACATTCACAAAACTTGTCACGCCAAAGTCACGCAAGGTCACGCGGAGTTTCCCACATGTTCCACATCAAAAACGTTTGTAACTATTCAGGGCCTGGTGAAACTGAAACTCTCCAACATCGAACGGATGACCAGAACCGAGTCGACGGCGGCGTCACCAAAGAATCTGAAAGCCTTGAGCTAGAACAACTACTGTATAGGTATACCATAGGTATGACCCTCCAGGACTCTCCATGATTCCCACTGTTAAGCATACTCGGGTGCTTTTTGCAAAAGGCACATACGCGGAGAAAGAAAAGTGATGCAAACGCTGCGGTACATTGATGATCCCAAGCTACAGTCTGTGTTAAAGTGTTCAAAAAGGTTTTGGACTCTCTACTGGCTCTACCAATGTTGTTCTTTTCAATGGACGTCGCTGAATGGCTAATTGGCACATTGTATGCAATGTTTGAAGCTTGCACAGAGCGACAGAGCGGCATCAAGATGATTTGGTAGTGCCTATAGGTAACCCTGTATCCTGTTCCCCTTAATTAGGCCATTTTGTCTTCCTGGTGCATTGCATTAGGAACTCGCTTGTCTGCGAAAATTCCACCATGCTCTCCTCCTGAAATAATGCACTTCGCCCTTGCAATGCTGGGAATGTGAAAATATAGTGTAGCTTTACTTACTGCGCATCAGGCAGTGATATGGCACACCAACAGCATACCAAGAAACATATGGTCTTTATTATGATTGTGTGCGTTCACCATGGTCAATTTGGCTAGACCTCGTCGTCGCTGAATTGCGCCGCAGGACATGACATTTTGTTGAATTTCTCTGTGACGAATGAAATCTGATTCAAAAAAACAACAATTCTGATCCACACGCAACTTTTGACATTGATTTTGTTGAGACGCGGGCAAGACCTAGGCTTCTCGGCTGGGGGAGTGCCTGCGACTCTTCCGAGTGCTTTGCAACATTTGTGACACTGCACATAAACAATAATATAAATATTGTTGTTTGAGAAGATCAAGGCAGCTAGCTCCTAGCGTCAAGCAGGCGCTGAGAACGCGCTGACTGCTTGGCTCAGAGAACTCTAACTCATGTGGCTGTAGTGGACCTGTTTCACCTCAACACCTACCACTTCCGGTGAATTGTACAGTAACGGCTATCTCTTTTTGGAGTGTGTGTGGACCAACCACGCACAGGCAGCTTGGATCTGTTACGAACTCAACATAATATACAATAATTCTAATTTGTCTTCGAAAAGACCGATCTTCACTACAGCAGCACTATTTTGCCAGCGACTCCAAGATAAGAGCAACACACCCCAAATGGGTTGTGGTTTGTGAAGGTAGCTACATCTCCGTCTTTTAAGATGTGCACATCTTCGTCAATTCCTAGAATGTTTGCTGATAAGTGACTTTGTGCTGAGATGGACTTGGCCATTCTATGAACAATGATGCTCCAGTAGATGAATCACAAAGGGGTTTATTGTTGAACATTGAACCATGCCCAGGAACAGGCAAATATTGTGAGAAGATGCAAGGCTACCCTGCCAAAAGATGCCGCCTGAAAAGCCAATGTTTGAAATCCAGAAGAGTGGTAAAGCAACAAACAACAGCAAATAGATGGCAAAAGTTACATGTCAACACAAATAGGGAAATGATGGGAAATGACCTTATCCAAACAGGATATGACTGGGCTAACATGCACATATAGTTCTGGGACGCACTATGCAAAGATTGTTGCATAGGTTTCAATCATGTGCTTCAATGTCCAAAGAGTCCGTTTCAAAAGTAATTCGGCTGAAATTGTGTTATTCCATGAATCGAACTAGGACCGCTGAGCAAATCATGGGGTACACGACCGAAAATTCATAGTTCCGACAAGACTTGTTAAATCCGTGATATGTTTTTGATGATTCCCATGAGTATCGTGACACGTCGTGACATATCGTAACATATCGTGGCATGTTCTGACATGTCAAGACATTTCGAGACATTTCGCGACATTTCGAGAAACCTGGTTTGCAACGTACTCAAATTTTGATGACATTGGCTCCGTAGTCAAAATTTGATGACATTTGAATGTATGCATATATTGCTGACATGGAGCCCCTGGGAAAGTGAGATAGAGGTGAATTCTCAAAGCAATATGCTAAATGTGAATCGATACTATAGATCAGATACTTGAAATTCATTTGGACTTGTATAGATTTGTATTGGACATCGCACACTTATCCACGTGATTGAAAAAAACTGTATATACACCACGAGAGTCAGAATCTTCACACGTCACCTGTCGAGTTGCACCGTCGTTCGGTACTTCTGAGGCCCAAGAGTCTGTCAATGCCCAGACTTGCTGGACGCGTGCCTAGCGCCCGAACTCGTCACCGCCATGGCCATGCGCACAGCCTCCAGTATGCGAAGCGCGCTTCATCCGCGGCAAAGCCGCGGCTATGAGCCATATGTCACACGGTCAAGTACAGGTCCAAGGGCAGCAGAGGTGGCAGGTGCTGATGCTGCAGCTACAAGCCTTTTTACTTGTGGCTCCTTGAATGATTGGCTGCGGCCAGAAGCAGCGCCCTTTCAAGGATTGCATCTGAAACGGTGCATCACGTGGCCAAACTATCAAGTGGAGATTGACCGTTGCCAGAGGGATTTCGGGGTCGAGGCTCAAATCGAACGGACCGTTTTCTCCAAGCAGGTCGGCTGGACAGACATTCCGTCGCTCGACACGAGCTGAGACGTGGCGGAGGGTTGAAAAACACCCACCCAGCCTAGGCAGAAAGAAGGGTGGTGAAGATCTCTCAAGAGACTTATCAGTTGTCAATTCTGAATATCAGTGACTGATCAGCTACATCAGTGTTCCTTTCGACGCCTCCTCCAAAAAGCGGTCAAACGCTTACGGTGATGACCGGGGTACTCCAACCGCTGGCGCGGCCGTTTTTCCTCACGAGGCGAGCGGCGGATGAGATTTTGCGCGGCGTCACCTTGCCAGAGGACGCACGTTCTGCACGTTCGGACAAGACGCGTCGACACGAAGGTCGACCAGACATCAACTGATGTCGAAGGTCGACCAGTGAACACTGCGTTTGCCTGAAGTAGCTGGTGAACTTGTGAACCCCAGTCCCCCAGTTGAAAAACCCTCCCCTGGCCTGATCAAGCAAGTCTACGGGAATAAGTCTACGGGATCTAACTGGTGTTTTTCACCCTAGACCCCCCTCTGAAAAATAATCCCCTGGGCTGATCGATCAAGTCCACCAGATTGAAGTGTCTGATTAACACAGGCCTGGTGTTGATTGGAACATGTTGGGTGGTAAGGACCTTTTGTCCACCATAAGGGCCGATATGTGTGAGCTTGGCATCACAGTGGCATCGTTATGCCCTTGGAGCAAGAGCATCATTGTGAGACTTGGCTATGCGCCGTCCGGGGTGAAAAAGGGCACTTGAACCCAAGTCTTCCTTCAAAAATGTGAAAATCGGGCACTTTGGACATTGGCTGGAAAAGACACAGTGAGATAACTCAATTCTGTTCCTGTTGGTCACACTTTGCAAGATTTTCTGCTCGTTTTGCTTTCGTTTGGATTTTCCAGCCACCTCAATTAATTCTCTCTCTCTCTCTATATATATATATTACAAAAGAGAACATGTGGTGCTGAAGTGCAGATATGTTAGCTTGTATGTGCTGAAGAAAAGCACACACAGTGGCACGGTTGGGACACCAAGCGCGCACAGCTGGCTTTGGGTGGCCGTCGAAGCTTGAAGGAAATTGGAACTCATGGGGGAACACTCGTGCCCTCGCTGGCATCGAGATAACTACTGTGGCAGGGGCATTGTGACCTACAATTTGGCTGGCACTGAATATGCAACTGATGCTGCTGGACCAGCATTCAAGCTCGTCTGCATCTTTTTCTTCACTTAGAGAATTGTCTTTATCAAGAGAAGAAGACTGAAGAATTCCGAAATACCGTCATCAGAAATTCTTAAGTGATGATCAATGAATCACTGGACACTTTTGCGAGAGGATGCAGAAGCGTGTTTCCACCACTTGACACAAAACACCCCTGGTGTTTTCCCTCACTCAGGACATTGTGGACTTTTGGGAATTGGAGAATTGCGGCCTCTCGGCGGCCGGCGCTTTGCGTGTTGGCGCATTCGCCGTGCATGTCCCTGACATGAAACGCCGTTTCGCGGCTCCCTCGCGGCTTCTCCCGGGCGTTTCGCGGCTCCCTCGCGGCTCCCTCGCGTTGTCTGAGGCAACAACGACCACATCATTCGGGACGTGTCCAAAGTTCGACAGGTCAATGTCGGCGACATGCTCTTCATTAAGGGCAATCAGTTTCCCGGTGGCTCCGGGGGGCTGGTTCACAAGTCACCCCCAGTTCAATACTCTGATATTGGCGTGGTGCTGAATCGCTTGGTGCTCAAGATCGATGTGCCGTGAATGCCGATTTTAACATTCGCCTGGGAGTCAAAGACTATAATAAGAATGGTCTTTAGGGGAACTGATTTCGGGAACTTCCTTTACTTCAGCCGGTCAAAATATAGTCTTTGGACTTCTAGGGATTCTTTTTTTTCCAGCCTCAAATCTGGAGAATTGGTACAGGACAGCAGTCGAAAGGTCGACTGTGAGCGAACTGCTAGCTAGCTGCTACGGCGACTGCCCGACACTTGCAGCTTCCCCGTAGTGCCGCCAAGTCCTGGGCCCGACACTTGCAGCTTTCCTTCTGACTTGTTTTGATATTTTTTATGTCAACCATCTCTGCATCAAAATCTCTTCTTGAGTAACTGCAAGTCAAAGAGTGGGCTTTCATTTAGGGGTGGTTTCCGTACCTGTACAGGGGTGCGTGCCTGTGCGCGCACCTGATGTGTGAGTGCATGATTCCTCACATAGTGATAAGGAAAAGCTACAAAGCAAAAGTGTTTTGAAGACCTTGAGTCATTCCCTCTTGAATGTTCACCTTGAAGCTCCAGTTCAAACACGTAGGGAAGGAAACCGAACTCTGAACTACCTCTCACTTTAGCTGGATCTTCAATTAGAACATATTCATCCACCATCTTCCAGTTGAGTATTGGGTGAACTTATGTGTTTAGGTGGCTGATGCGACATTTCCGCTTTGCTGGACACCGACTTTTGCTCCGCTTCGCCGGGCTCCTTTCCGCCGCGTCTTTCGGCCTCTGGCTCCAGCCGCGCCGACCGCCTCGGGGCTCCGCGGGAGGCGCGGCCGAGGCCGAGGCCGAGCGGATGCACTGGGACGACGGAGCTTCCCGGAGCTGGATTGGCTGGTGGTTTAGGGTTTGGGTCAGGTCGGATGGGACTCCATCCACTGGGAAGGTGGAGGATTTTCAGATGCTGACAGATCCCGGTGAAAGACCTCGTTTTACTGGAGTTGATCATACAAAAACACTAGCTCAATGAGGCAAAAGGAGCAGGTTTTACTGGGTCAGACTGGACTTGTAGGGGATGACAGCTGGGTCGAGATGACATGGAACAGATGAAAAGAAACGACATGGATTGCGTGGGTGTTTCGAGAGCCCCCCGAAACTGGAGATCAAGTGAAACAGGCATTCTCGCTTTCTCCGTTGACCCGGCGGCGATCCTTGAGAGCAGAAGTGGCTTCGAAAGACCTTTCAAGCTAGTAGGACCGAGTAGTAGGACCCAACTTTCAGGATCTCCGGTGCGGATCTACCAGGTTCTTCAGTTCGTGACCGAACCACCTGTCGTAGGACCGGTCACAGGTCTAGGGACTCCACAGCCAGGATCACGAACTATCACGAACTGAAGGAGCCGGTAGTTCAACTTCAGCTTCACCGCTCCTGCTGTCGCTGTCCGTCGCTGGCTTTCCCCCGTGTCACCAGGTGTCCTCGCCGGTGTCGCGCGCGCGCGGCCACGTCTTGGACCGATGGAGGTCCGTTCGCCCGGGCGCGACGCGGCCGGGGGGGCGTGGGGTTCCAAAGGCATTTCGACAAGAACCCCCACGCTGCTGAAGCACCGAAAGATGAAGATGGGACTTCCAATTCCGAGGTTTTCACCACCCTGGAACTGGATTTCATGGGATCCCCATAGCTGATCCCATAAAACCTGGGAATTTTGAGCATGGAACTCTCAGATTTCTCAATTGCTTTTAGGGTTCCATGTGGTCCGCAGCGGAGTATTCTTCATGCCCATGCAAAACGAAGCCCCCAGGGAGCCAAAAGACACCTTCTGGAGGGACGTTTTTCAATGGGGAACTCAGGAATTCACATGGAACCCTCAAAAAAGAAGCGGTCGAAGAAACGGTTCTTGCCTGTTCTTGCAGTCCGGACGCGTCACGCGTCGAAACACTGAGTCCGACCGAAATCGGCCGGCGCGGGCCTTTGGGCTCAACCCCATCCGTTTGACATGGACGGTGGATCGCAGAGGCGAGAAGGGGAGGGGTGGAGGGTGGGTGAGCGGAAGTCCTAAGACTCAGACTTTTGGAGGGTGGACAGGTGGTTTTGGACCAGTTTTGGACCAGTTTTGGGAGATCGGGCGAAGGCACCCGGGTGCCAGCAGCTAGAAAGATATTTGGGTAGCTTTGGAAAAGGGTCGTGAATCGACTTGGATGGAAGGAAGTCAAGTTCCAAGTTCCAACCATGAACTGTGAAAGACGTTGGTGGCAGTGTTTTAAGAAGCTCTTTCTTGAAGATGGTGTGTGTTCATGTGTGTTCCAACTACAACTGTACCGCATATGATCTCGGCTCTTCCTCCTGCCCTCATGAGGCAGCTGGACTATCCAGATGGCCTGAGCCATGAGTGACATGTACACCGGGGACGAGGGTTTGATGGACAGGTGGCACTTTTTCAAGACATCCGTCATGTAAAAGGATCAAAAAGGGCTTTGGCTGTTTGGTCAAATCTGTCCTGTTCCTCAAGGAAGCGTTTCCAACCGGCGATCTCCGATCTCCGGGTGTGCGGGGTGCACCAATTCCGATAAAAACGCACGGTTTGTTTGGACCCACACCTCTGTGGCGAACTCCTCTTTCAGTCCTGCGGCCGCCAGGCGACGTGGACGAGGCCCACGCCTCGAAAGGTGCGGGTCCGGCGCACGGGGCGGTGTCGAGACAGGAGCGGAAACCAGCCCGTTTGGTCTCTAAGTGAGAGCATGATCATGATGATCTGGGCATCCAAGTTCCGCACCGCGACATGGATTTCCTGGATCATACTTGTACGCTCATAAACATCCTGGATGTCTGCTGCCCCACCCTGTTCATTGGCGAGTTTACAGCACATCGTTCGAAGTGGAATCAAGCCTTCAATAATGGACTCTTGATCCAATTGTTGTCCCCACCCCATGGAATCAATTGAATCCATTCTAGGCAAGATGAGGGAAGGTGCGCGGACTCCATCGCTTGTCAGAGATGTTTTGGTTGAGGAACTTGTTTGAGCACTCTTTTCATGTTGTGGTTTGATGAACTACCACACACACTCATGGATATGCGTACTGACTTGATAGCGGTGCCACACGCCAGCCTAAGAGACCCAAATCCTGAAAAACCAGGTGAAGGGGACCAGAGTTCCTGTAGTTAAAGGCCACGAACCGACGAGGCGACAGGTTGACGGCGTTCCGCTCACGTCTGCAGCTCAAGGAAAAAAACATCCAAACGTCCAAACTTCGAGGTTCTTGGCTTAGCCTCGCGCCATGCAGAAAACTGGAAAATTTGCAGGTACGCAGTTGGACGTCTCCAACTGTATCACAGGTGACTGATGAGTGTCTTTGTTAGCACCGGTCTCATCAGCACCCCCGGTGCCCCCTGCTGTAAAACAAAACTAAACTAATGCAAAAGCATCCCTATGACTCCAAGGGTGACACACACACGCCTCCCCGAGGGGAGGCGAGAAGCTAAGGTGAGGGCCGATGTGCACGTGTGCGCGCCCAAGAGACAAGAAAATGAAGACATGACCAGAGGACGAGACGGGACAAAGGTGCGTGTGGTTGAAATGAAAGGGGAACCAAGTGCACAGGGACAACCGATGAAGCCCACCTCATTATAAAGACCTGGGCGACCTGAAACCTGTGTTTAAATGTGTGTAGAAGTGCACGTACACACTAAGGCCGGGACCAATGTGCGCGCAAACGAAGAAAAGGATGAGATGACCAGACATGAAGACAGGAGGACATGAAAGAAAAGAGGAAACAAGAGTGTGTGAAGGGAAGGGATGAAAGGGGGAACCAAATGGAGGGGACGAGAACCGATGAAGCCGAGCCTCATTAAAACGACCTAGGAAAACCTGCCTCGTTTGAGTGTATACGCTGTATGTGCACCCAAGGTCTCGACAGGTTCCAATGAACCTTAAACAAACTTCGGTCGCTGCGACCACGTACGGCTTGCCCGAAGGCTGCCACCTTTGACCGCTACGGTCACGTAAAGGCATGAGCCAGCTTGGAATTCCAGAAATGAGACATAAATCATCGGACGTACGGCATTAGCCAACTGCTGCCCGCTGTGGGCACCTACGTTTCCAGAGCAAAGGAAACAGGGACGTACACCCGTTCGACGGGTCCACGGGAGGCACTCTGCTCATCCCGGGTTGGCACGAAGCCAAACACACTCATGGATATGCGTACTGACTTGATAGCGGTGCCACACGCCAGCCTAAGAGACCCAAATCCTGAAAAACCAGGTGAAGGGGACCAGAGTTCCTGTAGTTAAAGGCCACGAACCGACGAGGCGACAGGTTGACGGCGTTCCGCTCACGTCTGCAGCTCAAGGAAAAAAACATCCAAACGTCCAAACTTCGAGGTTCTTGGCTTAGCCTCGCGCCATGCAGAAAACTGGAAAATTTGCAGGTACGCAGTTGGACGTCTCCAACTGTATCACAGGTGACTGATGAGTGTCTTTGTTAGCACCGGTCTCATCAGCACCCCCGGTGCCCCCTGCTGTAAAACAAAACTAAACTGATGCAAAAGCATCCCTATGACTCCAAGGGTGACACACACACACTTTGCTTGTGCTGTGCAGGTGAGCGGACATTGCAAAAAGGTTAGCCGGTTAGCCCTTTTCCGGTTTCTATTTTTTTTTGTGTGTGTTTATATGTTTTCATCCCTGTTCTTTACGTGGTATGCTGTGCCACAAACCGACGCCATTCTGGTGCCGGACATTTGTTGCTGATATCAGCTATTGCTGAGTGAACATGTCCAGTGAGAAACGCACATGTCCAGCACAAGCTCCTGGCAGGCATGATCTTCGTTTCGGCTGTGCCTGTTTGCATGGTTCAGATGCCAGCAGGCGTGGCAGGCGTGGACGTCTGGTGAGGGGTTGAAGCGACTAGCAGCTGCCAATCGAAGGTCTTGCAAAAGACCTGAAACTCAGGCTTGTTCACCCAAACCATGACCTGAAACTCACGCTTGCCACGGTTGTGTCGAGCACGGGTTATGCCACAGAGGTCAGACCTGTGGACACCTGGTTTCTGTATTGCGTTTGAGCTAGAGACCGCCACTGTTAGGAGCCTTCATAACATTGGACTTTTCCCCAAAGCTGGAGCTGTTTCCTCCTCCTTCGCCCCCTGGGACGCCGTGTGGCTCCGAGTCCGCCTCGGACAGAACAAGTCCAGGTGCGGAGCTGGACGCGCCCGAGCAGGTCGGAGCGCTGAGCCGGGTGGCCAAGTCATAGGATCCCAAGCTGTTGGCCGAGTCCGAGTCGGCCGATTCAAACGAAGGAATGATGAAGCTGCGTTAAACGTACAGTTACTAGAGTTCGACAGCGTACAACATGTTCGACAGTTGAGG